CGAGTGATGGTTGATCCTGCGGTGGGCGAGGCGTAGCAGGATCATCTGGACGGTCAGAGCTGGGAAAGATGGGTTCTGAGCTCTGAGTGCTGTTTTGAGTATCTCGTTGACCAGCACTGCTTTGTGAGTGCCCATTTCTGAGCGTGTCGGCCCGAGCGAGCTCGACCATCAAGTCGTGAACAGACTGATCCATGACAGGGATAATTTCCTGGGGATACGCCTGAATCTGATGCCACAGCTTGCGTGTCGGCGGGTAGAGGTTGAGATCGGATATATCAAGATATAGTCTGGTTGTGCCGAGAAGCAGCATGTTCTCCAACGCTTCCCAGTACGGTTTGGACTCAGCATCAGGGAATTCTCTCACATCGGCATCCGTGAAGCCGTCTCGGTACATTCTGTACTTTTGGGTAAAGTTGCGCAAGAAGTCCTTGAATGTAGCAAAACTATCGTCAATGGAGACTGTGGTGCCCCAAATAAGGCTCTGGCTCCGGCCGCCTAGGTGGTCGGCCTCCGATGTGTTCGGGTCTCGGTTGGCAAACGACGCAGCATCCGAGCCAGGAGTCTGCCCTTCTTGAACAACTCGGCCGGTATCATCTAGAATGATGCGGCGTGGGGCACGAGGCGTGCGCATAGCATCTGAGTTGATATCACCACGGCGATAAGCAGCGGAAGAACTACCGCGGTCTGAGCCGACAAACAGACCGCTGCTTTCACTGCGCAACTCTGAGCGCTGTCCGTGGGATCTACCAGGACTGGAACTGGGTTCGTAGCGGATTGGCGATGATTCTAGACAGGAGCGAGGGTCAGCGATTGTTCGTCCGTGCCACTCTTCCGCGCCACCATGTTGAAATCAGTCACGATAATCGACCTCTCATCACGACTAACCTCCTGCAAAAAGGCCGCTTGCCCTGGGCGTTCTTTGAGGGTCATCCCGCTGCGACTGCGAGTCGGACATCTGCCGCAGCGGGGAACTTGGTGTAGCAACATGACCATCTGTAGACTGGGAATTTGTCATCTGCCTCAACGGAGAAGAGACGATTCCGTCGATCCCATCTTCTTGGTCATTTCCAGCAGGTGGCGGCGAGGACTGGAAGAACAATGGGCTCGAGGCAAGCTGTGAGGGTGGGTTGTGAGGGGTGTTTGCCTCGGACTGGTGGCGAGCAGATCGACGAGGCGTGCCGGCCTGCGAGCTCCGCTGTCGACGATTCGACGGCGACGACATGATAGAGGTTTGTTTGTTTTTGCTTTGCAATCAAGCTGGGTTGAACCAACAGCACATGAGTCGGTAGGTACATGTACAGTCAGCTTGAGTGAGGGCGAGATGCGAAAGCGCGTCACGCGTTAATTGGGTTTTCGGGAACGCGACATCCAAGCCACTTGGCAAGAACACCAGCCTCATTCGGCACGTTGTGGCTGGGCGGCTAGGAGGAGCCCGGGATCCGGCCAAAGTGTCCAGCCGCAAAGCCATAGAAAGCACCTGGCGGATCCCGCCTCCACCCTGCATGCGCTGTCAGTCAATGGGCGGACAAACAGCTGGTCACTCCGGGCCAGGCCAGCTACACATATCGGCAAACCATCGCAACAACACCACCCACGCTCACCATGTCTCCTGGAATGACCCTTTTCTCGGTCCAGGCCGTCCTCATCCTCGGACTTGAGGACGGCGCCAGAATCTTGGCCAAATACTATTCCTCTCCTCATAACGCGAGCGCAGGCGCCGGCGCAGGTAAAATCCCCAACCACACCCTCACCACCCATTGTCGTTGCCTGCCTCTTTTTTTTTTTCCGAGGCGCATGATCGAGTATTAAGAGCTTTCATCAGGACAAGAACTAACATGTAGTAAACAACATTCTGAGCGGCGCAGCATCAATCAACCCCTATGGCGACCTAAAAGCCCAAAAAGCGTTCGAAAAGGGCCTCATCGAAAAGACAGCCAAGCAGACCGGCGATATCATTCTGTATGATAACCGGATCGTCCTGTACAAGCTCGAGTCCGATGTCATGATCTACGTGGTTGGCAGTCTGGACGAGAACGAGATTTTGTTATACAACGCAGTCCTTGCTATTCGTGACTCACTACACCTCGTCTTCAAGTACGATACGCTACTCGATCTAGTTTTCATCCATGTTTCCCCATACATAAACACAATAAAGAAAGAAAACAGAGGCGCAAGGAGGGGGGAAAGACAAGAGAGGGAAACACACACACACACACACACACACACACATTCATGCTATCAAGAGCCGACTAACCCACCTTGCACCGCCAGACAATCCATCGACAAGCGCACCATTATCGAAAACTACGACCTCGTTTCTCTTGCCATTGACGAAATCGTCGACGACGGCATCATCCTCGAAACTGACCCGACCATTATTGTTCAGCGCGTCAGCAAGGCCCCGACGCAGGACGTCCCAATCGGTCGCATCGACCTCAGCGAACAGGGCGTCAACAACCTCGCCCAGTTGGGCAAGTCAAAGTTGGCGGACTGGTTACGGCAGGGTCTGTGAGTATGAGGTGCTTGTGGCAGGGAGAAGGGTGTGTTTGACAGAAACGTGATGATCAGTCACAGGGAGATGCAAAACAAAAAAACATCAAGACCAACTTGATAATGAGATGAAGAGGCTTTGTTACAGCTACTCGATATACTTGGCAGAAATATCAAGAAGCAAAATTTCAAAAGTGTTTTTTTTTTTTTCATAGTAAAAAAAGAAAAAACTCGGCGCCGCATAAATGCAACAACTTTATAGAGTCCCATGTCTCCACCATTTGGGATCGTGGATCAATCAAGTCTCGAAGAGGACGAGATATGCAATGGACTGTAACAATGATAGAGCAGAGAAAGAAGCAAGATGATCGATCGCTATTGTAAACTTTTACGTAATGCATTGTTTTGGTTTTATTTTCCTTCTTTTTTTTTTTCCCTTTTGTATCGGTACCGGACGTCTTTTCTATACTCTAATATCAGACGCCGCCTTGCGAAGGCGATTCATGACCGCCGCCGCAATGTCTGCATCGTCGTCAATGCCCTCCACGAAAATCACATGCACACCCCGTTTGTCCAGCTCCCGCAAAGCAGAGAACAAACCCTGCGCTATGCCCTGTGTATCTTGGCCCAGACTAATGTCGTATACCTCTCCCACGATCTTGTCCTCCTGATCCGTCAAGTAGCCTCCATAGACCTCGTATGAAGACGTTTCACCAACATCACCCCCAGCAGCAGCAGCATCATGCTCGTCCTCGTCGTCCTTGTTGTCGTCGTCGACCCGTCCAGCAAATCGTCGCAGCTTGGCGCACGGCAGGCCCGCCGCAGCAGGCCAATTCTTGGTGCGGATAACGCCCACCATACACTTGCCCGGGTTGACTCCATTCTTAGTGGTGGTGGTGGTCGTCGTCGTCGCTGCTGATTGCTCTTCGCGCCCATTGGTGCCTGGTGATGATGTTGCCAGAGCGGTAGACGCATCCGCCGCGGTGATTCCCCCCTGGCCAGCTGCGTAGGCTGCTTCGTAGAGCACAACCCGCGCCCTAGGACTGTAGTGCTTGTATTTCATGCCTGGGGCGCGGGGAGCCGCTTTGCCTTCCTCGCTCTGGTCCCGGTAGGCCTTGACGACGGCCTCCCAGCCGGGACAGGTGCGGATGTCGTCCATGCTTATGCCTCCGGGTCGCAGAATGGCGGGCGGGTGGCAGAGACCGTCGACGACGGTGCTCTCCACGCCCACGGCACAGGGTCCCCCATCGAGGATCCATTCTATCCGGCCGTCCAGGTCGTCCTTGACGTGCTGGGCCGTCGTGGGGGATGGTTTCGTGGAAGCGTTTGCCGAGGGGGCTGCCAGGGGCACCCGGGCCAGCTGGATGAGCGTCAGGGCCAGCGGTGACGAGGGCATTCGGACGCCAAAGGTCCCGAGGCCGGCAGTCACTTCGGGTGCCAGCGGAGACGGATCCGGCTTCGGCAGCAAGATGGTCAGGGGACCGGGCCAGAACTTGTCCAGCAGAGGCTTGTACAGAGCGGGTATGACGACGTCGTTGTCGCCGCCGCCGTTCTCGTCACCGCCGTGCTGGGCTCCTCGTAGCAAGGCCCGCAGCATGTGCAAGTCGCACACGTGGACGATGAGCGGGTTGTCGGATGGCCGCCCCTTGGCCGAGTAGATTCCCCTGACTGATTCGCTCCGCGTGGCATCGGCGCCGAGACCGTAGACCGTCTCTGTAGGGAACGCAACGGGCGTGTCTCTGGTTCTGAGATAGTCGGCGGCAGATCGCAACGCCGCCACAGCATCCTCTGCGTCTGGTCTGATGTGCCAGTGGTCTAATCGGTCAAGAGAGCGCTTGTCGTCGTCGAAATAACCCAACGATGGCCCTCGGGGTATCGACACCACCCGGGTTTCCATGGTGGGCAACCTCGCGGCACGACGAGCCGGCTTGGCGACGGTTCGGTTTGATGCCGATATAAGTTGAAGTGGTGTCACTCGAACCGTTGCAGCTAATGAGTCTTTTGACTCGGCAGACTGACCAGTGAGAGATATCAAAGTCTTGAAGAGGCGTGCTTGCGCTGCAACGTTCCAATGAGAGAATGGAGAAAATCCAGTATTTTGTAGTCTGCGCGAATCTATCTCGCCGGCTGAGTATCCCTTCGCAAAAGTTGGAGTTGTTTCGCAAATATTAAGAAACTTGAGTTGATGCATCAAAATCTTCCGACTTACTCATAATTTTTTTCTTCTGGGACCCTCCGATGCACGCAGTTTGAAATCTTCTTGTTGGGCCATATTACGGCGCACCCACAATTTTCAAGTCTTCTGTCATGAGTCACGCAGCAGCTCTCATCGCGCACATACCAAGCAAGACAAATGCGCTGCAAAATGTCGGGGCATCATTAAATATGCTATTTTTTATTTGGTGGTTGAATATTGAATAACTGCCTGACTGATTGCGTTGCCAAAAAAAAAAAAAAAAAAAAAAAAAGAAAAAAAGAAATTGTAAGCAGGAATCAGACCCGCAAAAATATGGACTCGCCGGGAATTGAACCCGGGACCATTCATAGGCAACTATTACTGATTGTTCAGATAAGTCTAATGACTATCCAAGCTTTCACAGGTGCGAAACGAAGATCATACCCCTAGACCACAAGCCCATGTCCCCGAATTACTGGGGCTGTTGTTGAATGGCTCTCAACTATGAAACCATATAGACTTGAGACGCAAAATTTCACTTCACGCCTCGCGACTTGCGGCTCGACCAATTGTCAGTCCAGTAGGTGCGCAACCCTATACCAAATGTGATTTTGGAAAGTAAGATATTTCACTCAACGCTGGACTTATTTTTTTTTTGTTAGGGTAACTCTATATCTAGGACTACGTTTGTGCAACCTAGCAGACGCGACCATTGTTTTTGAAGCGTGAAATGAAAATAGGCAAGGTTTTCTCAACGTCAGTACGTTAGGCCCGTGTCTCATTGCGACGAATTCACCAGTTCGGAAGAAAAAAATAAATTAAATTAAATCAAAGTAAATCAAATTAAATGTTTTTTTATATTTACATGCGAATTATAGTATCGTCACTGACAGCGCGCACGTCTCCCATACACCAGCTCCAGACTGCACACTCTCCAAGCATACACAGTTCACCACGGCTCTCCGTTTCAAGTCATTTTTTGCATCCTCAATACTATCATATTAAATAGCTCACCACATCCTGCTTCATGTCGCCCAGCCAGCCCCCCAACTATCCCCGCACCAGCGCCCTAGCCTTCCTCCTCTCCTCCGTCGTCAAAACCCAGTCAATGCCGCCCTCATCGTCCCGCGACAGCTCCTCCCACTCATCCTCCTCCATGTTCGCGACCATGAGAAGCTGCGTCACCTTTCCAAACGCCTCGCGGACGCTATAGTCGCCCTTTGACACGATATTCACGATGCTGGTAAAGTCCCTCTCGATACGAACCACGCCAAACGGACTCGCCTTGCCGACATAGGTCAATATCTTCTTTTCCAGGATTCTCGACAAGTGCCGCGCCGTCAGATCCAGCAGAGTGCTGAATGTGCCGGGGGTCATGATTCGCGCAATGGGTCTCATCAGTTGGTCCCAGCCGTGCTCGAACCGCCGCCGAACTTGATCCAGAATTTGCTCCTCGTCCTCGTCATTCTGCTGCGCCAAGTCACTCAGTTCTTCTTCGAGAAGGGCGTAGTCGGCGTCGCGAAAGGTTTCGCTGATGACGGGCCGTAGGCGAAGCTTGACGACTTGCGTGAAGAGAACCTGTATGCCCTCATTCAGTAGTTCTGTGGAACTGGCGATGAAGCCTGTTTCGAGAGCGTGTAACGACTTGGCTACGAATGCCACATCCTTTTCAAAGGGGAAACACTCCTGCAAGGGCCCTTGCAATGTCACCACCTCGTTCGTCCCTTGGCCTTCCGCAACGGCAATGCGACCGCCGATAATTCTGCTCAGGTATTCATTTGACTTGTCCAGACTGTTGATAAGCACCATGAACTGTATGATCTTGTCTGCTGGCGGCAAGCCTTCATGCATGGCCGGCTTCGGATACGACTCATCCCGCATCTTGCGTTGAATCATGCCAATGAAGTCGGAGCTCAGAACCCGGCCTACCGTGGGTAGTACCGATGAAATGACATCCCGCTGTGATGTCGATATAGATTTTTGAACCACATTGTCGACAATGTACATGACATCATCCACGGCTGTGATTATGAACGGCGTACTCCCTTCGACCGACTTGCTCAAGCTGAGAGATAGTCCCGCAGGATACTCGTCCAGCTGGAAGGCCTTTTCCACCGATCTTCGAAAAAAAAAAGTTGTCATAACGTTGTAGGGAGTTGTCAATTTCGCTGAAACCTTGCGATAGAGATTTGATTTTACCAGCAATTCTGGCAGGACCAGAGAAGCTTGTTCGTCATTCGCGACCTATTGTAGATGATTTTGCAAAAAAAGCAAAGGCAAAAGTCAAAAAAAGAGAGACAAAAAAAGTTAAGATCTGAGCCTCAATCCAGCTTGACTGACGAAAGATCAACTATATGGTTAAGACTTACCATGCATTTGCCTGACAGGAACCGGGTATATAGAGACCATCGGCCCAGCATGACCGCAATCTCACTGAGAAGTCCATCCACCTCCTTCATGTTGACGCCTTCATCCTCGCTCGATCGCGGGTCGTTGCCTCCAACCGAGGGGGAGTTGAGTCGAGGCGTACCACTCCGGGGAGCCTGTGATGACAAAACGCTCTGCACTAAAAATGAAAAGGGATAACTTTTAACGTCGGTAATTTTCCTGTCCAAACCTCTCTCGTCGCTCCACGTATCGAGGATAATGCCCCCCTGGACATCAGCCTCCATCTGCAATCGCTCAATGACCCTGACCATCTTGCCGACCCCGTAGTGCCGCTCCACGAGTCCTCCGTGAGACTCGACAATTTGCGCAATGTGCTCAAACAGCTTTGTCAACGCATTAGCAAAAAAGAAGCCCTCCTTCCTGTTCTGCCCGCCCATGCTGTCCTTCAATGTAGCGCGGGCCGTCCCAGCGACTCCCTGGCAGACGTAGCGCCCGTACACATCCAATCCGACATCTGCCCGCCCAATCATGGGGAAAAGCTTGAAGAATCGCGTCACCTTGGTACCGTCGCCATCGCCAGCGGCCTTTTCAAACTCACGCAAGAACAGGCCGCACAGAGACTCTCTGGAGTTTTCCAACGTCACCCAGGGCGGATCTGGAACTTCCGCACTCGGTACTATACTGGCAGCGAAAGCGCCTCGGGCAATCTCCTCGGGGACCTTGCTTGCTCGAGATAGATATCCCGCTGCCGCTTCCCAGTCTTGCGGGGCGCCCATGGAGCCAACCACCCCGTTCACACAAGCCTTGAGCTCGGCCACCTGCTCCACGACTCCAAGCGTATCTTCCACGCGGCTCTTCTCCAGATCCAGCTCCTTCACTCTATTACTGAGCCTGCCGGCAGTCTCGGCCGCCGAAGAAAGCATGTCATTGTTGATGGATCGCGCAGCAACGGCTTGTGCTCCGAGCCCTGCTCGCAGCAGGTCCAGCCGACCGAGATCTCGCGTCAAGTCGGGCTGCGAAGCGAGCAGCGAATCGAACCGGGCCGTGATTGCGGATTCCCGATCATGCAATGACAGCAACGCAGCTCGCAGATCAGCCACATTGGTGACGTTGCTGAGGGGTGACGCGGACGTCGACTTTGGGCGCTTGCCATCGCGGAGGCTAGGGCGATGGGCCGCACCCGCACCCGCACCGTTCACGAGGGCAGACATTGGCGACGAGAAGGTCTGGCCGGGAGGCGCGCATAGCTCCCGGATGGATTTTCGTCGACGACGTCGCTGGAGAGAAAAAAAGAAAAACCCAGACCTGGACGAGTGGTGTTGTGGCTGTGATGAGGATGGCAATGGTGATGGGAAGTGGGCTGACTGGCAGCTCCCTGCCAACACCGTCAGTCGCAAGTGGTCGTGGGGCCACAATTCACATTCAACATCCTACAGACTCCTTCAAAAGCCGTCTGGTGACTCTGCCTGTCCACCTTGAACAACACCTCGGCTAAATTTGACCTTCTCGCTCAACGTGCTTCCATTTAAAACCGTGTCCACAGCCCCAAAACGTCCATTCAAAGTCGGAAATTCAATCTACCGAGCAGATGTCCCTAATCCACTGAGAGCCACTCTTCACATTTGAGGCCACAATTCTATCGAGTATGTAGATGAGGCGAGGTGTCAGACCCGAGCTCAGATGAGGCGAGGGTCGAAGCTGAGATGAGGAGAGGGTGCGGTGGGGCAAATT